TTTTCATTTGTTTTGAAAGCTGTTCATTGTTTCTAAGGATGATTTGTCCATCAACTTTCTGTTCTGCTCATGAACTGCTTTTTGTGTAGCATTTGCGTATTAAATTCTAAATTTGTTTTATGCCTTCCGAGATAATTTTCTGAGTAAACTTAGTAATCTTGGTTTACCATCCGTTTCAGAGGCTGATATTGCTTTTGACCTTTGAAATGAAGTTTTGATCTCCCCCATGTCATCAAAACATGCTTTGATTGATGCCTGAGATTTAAAACTCATTTTGATTATATGAGCACTACATAGCGATAACCATAAGAATGGACCGGTATAAATTAACCAATAAATATATAAAAATTGTTTGTATAAAGCAAATATTTTGTTAGCATGCTATGCATATCACTAAACGGATCGGAATCAGAATGCTCCATCTCCATGTATCCAGCGTGCATTCTGCACCGCTGACAACCAGAGCCAAAGGGAACCCAACCATATTAAAATTTTAAAAGGCTTGAAAGTGCCCAAAAATGTTGATGCTCATTTTAGAAATAATAACAGCAGGACCAAATTCAATATAGTTACAACACGAGGTGGGAACAATTAACATAGGGGAGACATAAATTACAGAATCAATTTTATGAATGTTGGTGAACAAATAACATCCAAGACTACATGAGCATACCTTATCTCTCTATTCGGGGTTTTTATTAAGAACCTCCATTCAAATCTACACCAGGATACAAAATGATTACACCGAGAGGATTCAACATCAAATTTGCCAAAGCAGGTACGCCCAAAGTGCTCGTGAGTGAGAGTTCAAGATCATGCGTGTAATTTTCTGTTTCTGCGAATTACAATGTGCAGAGAACTTTACAAGCTGTGCACTTACAGATGTAGTACAGCCATTGATTTAGTCAAGCACGAAGAAGCATCCAGTTCATGAGTTACATGGTTCCTTGAGATATGACTCCATTTCATCTCCATATCAGACACATCACATACAGTAAAAAAATCCAACACTTGACCAAATATTTTGAACATCTCAATGCCAAATATCATGTTCCCGTCTGCCACAAACGCAGCATTCCAGTCCATTGGAGCATCAGGATGCACTGAGACCTCGGCCCAGTTAAGGTACATGAGATCCAGCTCCCATACTTTTCTAACAGCCTTGTTTCTCCGGCCTATCTGACCATCCCCTTCACACCAGAAGACAGAGAGCATGAAAAGCCGGCCATTACAAGATACTAATTTTGGGTAATATTCATGAACACGGGGTGGGAAAGGAGAGGTTTGGATTCCAATCCAGAAACCCCTTTCTATGTCATATCCTGCGAGCTTATCACTTTCGGAATAAACATAAAACATCCCATTACAAACAACTCCAGAACAAACAATCCCAAAGTCCACAGGCAACCCTTGAATTTCTGTCCATTTCTTAGATACGGAATCATAAATTTCTCCAGAATCTAAAGGCTCATCCCATGATCCAAGACCGCCTACAGCAATGATCACAAACCTTCTATGACTCTTCATGGATGAGTGATCACTTTTCTGCTTCATAAATTTATATGACTTTCTATTGGGCAACAACGAAGACTCATTTTCATCAACAGCATATCTGCATTGACGCCTAAGAGAAAGCCTGTGAGGATCTTCATAAACATCTGACACTCCACCTAACCGTGATCTGGGAATACGTCTATCTTGGCGATTTTGATAACTTTGACTGGTGGAAAAATCTGAAGTGACCTCAGAAACTCCTAAAATAGGCATTGATCTTGCATACTTCATAGGTGAAACTTTACGCCAAGATTTAGTTAAGGGACTGAACAGCATTACCCCTTTGTGTGTCTTAAATGAGCTCCTATCCACCCTCCCAAAGTTGTTCAAGCTTGAGCAACCACCAACAACGTAAATATCATCTTGGATACTAGCAACAGAAAACATGAACCTCCCCTTTAGAATATCAGCACCTATCACATGCCATTGGTTTAGAGACACATCCAATGCATATATCTCACCAGAGCAATAACCATCTTTAACAGCACCAAAAATAAACAGCCATGGATTCTGATGTGAGCCTTCCCGTCTCATCTGCAGGAACCGAGGAGTAGTAGTCAAGTGTCTCCATTTCTTGCATACAAGGCGTGCAGTCATGAGAGTGGTTAGTGGGAGCCTCACCAAGCACATTTCCAATATGTCATCTGGAAGAAAAATGTGCATTCTGCTATTTCTTATTGATTCTTCAAGCTCAAAATCCTTTCTGTTATGTTTCTTCCAAAATCTCTCCCTTACCCCATACGAGAAGCAGTCCATTCCAGATTCCTCGGTACCACATATCGGTCTGTATCCCTTGCCTTCATCGCTGGCACTTGACCTCCTCCGGTTACTCGGATCCCCAAAATCATCCCCTGTGTCAGCACCTACTTTGCAACCCCCACCCCTACCATACAGAGTAAGACACCTCAAAGATATTCCCCTGGCATCATCCTCCTCTTCTCCTCCAGGTCTCTGATTCTTCTTCCTCAACTTCTGGCTAACACTTCTCATCAGACGCTTTGACACACTCAAAGCTTCAAAATCTTGGCGAAGAGATTCTTCACCAGAGAGTCTCTCCGAATACATTCTGTTCTATAGTCATTAGCACGAAAAGGCATGCACTGTCTTACAAATGTCATGAACCCTAATAGAAGCAAAATCATATGCATAAGATAGCAATCAAGAGTGCAAGCCCAGAAGGGTGAGTTAAAACACAGATCTCCATATATTTATGGTAATCCCAAAATGTAAATGGAATAAGAGCAATGAAACCATGTGCAGCATATTCAAGATATGGTTGGGGTTGTTAAACACTATATCCTTGAAAGTAAAAGGAAATGTTATTCGTTTTAGGCTACATGAAAAGAAATTTTATTTCTGAAACGAAACTCAGTATTGTACAACCACCGAAGTCCTTGGACCTCAGGACAAGAACCCTCATAAACACATTTCCATCTCAGAACCCAAAAAACCAAAGGAGACAGATACTTAAACTTGCACAAAAACTATATAACAAACACAAGTCAAAGATTAAAATTAAGAATTACTTTTGTCCTTTCCGGGTTTTACCATCAGTTTTCTCGGCAACCAAACACAGAGCAAAGAACTAGCTCGAAATAAACTATGGGTGTAACAACACATTCAGTCAAATTCCCCATAGGAGGAGTTAAAAATAACACTAAAACAGGACAAATACCCAGCAAGAAGACGAAATCATCATGAATTGATAATTTTAATATACTAGATGATCCAATAACATTCAAATCCAAATGAAATGAACAAAATAATAATAAATAAATAAATAAAAAGATATGTAGTTCATTTGGTTGCCGATAATTGAGAAAATAAAATAGAAGCAAAAAGCAGCAACTCACTGGAATCAGCACCCTAATGAGATCAACATTTTGACATACGAATGCGAACACCGTAAACAGAAATGAAAAACGAAAAAGCCATGTGTTTGGTTGCCGAGAAACAAAGAGAAATAGAAAGAAAGGAGAAGTAAATTGGAAAGAGGCACGTTCGAATCGATTGATTTGGAATAAATTGAAAAGCAAAAGACAAAGATGAAAAGGCAAAAACTTACAAACGAAGAGGTGCTTTGCCTTGAGCAGAGCAAAGCACTGTTGCAGTGAGCGATCTGAGGTGAGCTGTAAGATTGAACAATAGAGAAGAAGAAGGTAAAGAGAGAGAAAAAGGAGGAGGCTCAATCTGATGAGATTCTCGTATTATGAAATTCGATATTTCGAATTTTTTAATCAAAAGAAATCGTAAAAGATTAATTGAATTTTGTTTATCTTTTTTAATTTATAATGGGAATTAAATTCATTAATAAAGAATATTTAGAGTGGTAGGTTGTGGTCGTGGTCGGGGCTGGATTTAGTACAGTGACGTGGCCTTTCACTTGATCCACTTCATTTATCAAATTCTAAAAAGTGAACATAATGAGTAGATTTTTTCTCCATATTTTTGCTTATCACACTTAATTTTAGGGTTATTTTATTTGGACCCATCAATCCTTTTTTTTTTTGGTCTAACACTAATTTTAAAAATGAATAACATATTTTACCCTAATATGTAATTATTGTTAAGGACAAAGAACATTTAAAATATAGAATAAATCTTATCATTAGATCCATCATAACAATATACATTTTTACAATCCTAATCAGACTTATTTCTCATACTTGTTCTCTCAAACTATCACGTTCAGTGGCGAATCCAGAAATTTTCATTCCGAGCGTCAATGTGTAAAAGGTTAAAAAAAAATTTATACAAAATAGACCCATCGAAATGAAAAGATAATATTCTAAGGGTTAATTACTGTAGACGTCCGTGAATTATGGCCCCAGTTGCAATTGGGTCCGTGAACTAAATTTTGTGGCAATTTCGTACTTTAATTTGACAATAGGGTGCAATTAGGTCCTGCCGTCCAATTCTGTCAATTTATCTGTCAAAATGAGGGGTAAAAGCGTCCTTTCGCTCTGTCTCTCCCTCTCTCTTTCGCTGTCTCTCCCTCTCTTTCGCTCTGTCTCCAACCCATCGTCTACCAACCACCACCTAGCCATCGCCAAAAACCATCAAGGCACCCATGCCTACTTCTTCGCGAGTTCATAGCTTTACCGACCAAACCCCTTCCTTGTTGCGAGTTCATAGACTTAGATAGAGAGTGACAGAGACAGACAAAGACAGAGAAAAAGAGAGGAGAGAGAGAGGTTCACATAGAGACAGCCAAAACCCAGCCTCGACATAAATGACCTCTACCTTCCGCTCTCGCCCAGCCCCCAAAGAATGGAGGGTAGTCAAGGGTCCAAGGGCTGGTCTCGTCAAAGTACCATTGAGAGAGAGGCAGAGAGTGGGTTATAGCAAGCCAGTGGCGATGGACCTCAAAGTCTGTGCTTTTGTAGGCTGGGATTAGAAGCAGCTTTACGCAGACGGCTGCGGCGATAAACCACCATAGCTCTGTCATGGGCTTGCTGGGTTTTGGAGGTTTTTTCAGTTGCGGGGTGGTTTGTGCTTCCATGGATTTGAAACTTCAGAGAACAACCAGGAATTCGATTCAGCCAAAACTGACTTCAAGAGAAATGAAGGAGAAAGAAAAAGAAAAAAAACCTGAGATTTCAATGCATTTTGAATTTCATTGCTATGAACCCTTGTGTTTTCTAGATTTATTTTGTTTCTGGGTTTTCTTTGTGGCTTGAAATTATGGTTATTTCAGATCTGAAATTGTAGCCATGCTGGGTGTATTTGATTTGGTTGAAAGTATAAAGTTTCAGCTATTTGGGGCTGAGATTTGATCTGGGTATTGAAATTTCAAATGGGTAATTGATTTTCTGGACTCAACAGAGTACTTCAGTAGTATCAGTAGTATTGGGCTCAGCAGAGAACCCAGCTCATAAATCCTCCTCTCCTTCTGAATCTCCATCCAATTCTCAATCTTTTTCGTGTACTCACCCTCTCTCCACCTCACCAAATCCATCAACATAACACCTGTATTGAAATAACAAGGCTTTTTCCCTTCAAAAACTTTAGAGAGCTCAGAGTCTTTCCAAAACCCATCAGAAAAATACTTGGTGAAATTTGCATGGCAATACTCTGGAGCACCAATCAGATAAAGAGATCTTCCATAGCTTCTGCACATCATCCACAACTATGACATCAGAGTCGAGATAAATCACTCTCTCCACACAGGGGTCGAGCAAGTCAGCTAAGTAGTTTCTTGCGTAGTTCAATGGGTTGTCGAGAGCTTGTCGAATCGAAGACGAAATCAGATTCTTGACGCGGCTTTCCCTGAACACATAAATTCGGAAACTCAGTGAAGGGAAGGTCGATTGGACAATGCGAGTGAGGTCCTGTAAATTGACTAAACTTGAATATGAGGCGATGAAGTGGAAGAAGGTGTTTTCTGGGCAAGAAGCGTGCTTGAGAATAGAGTGAACTGCAGCCATGGTGCCTCTCAAGTACTCTGAATCAATGGTCATCGCGACGTGAACAAGCGAGGGATAGCAAGCCAATGCCAAGCTCTTCAAATTCAGACCCAAAATAGGGCAGCTCATGCTCAAAACCCAGTTGCAGGTTGGGTTTGGATTTGGGTTTTGAGGGGGTGGACTAAGGAGGAGGGGGAATGGGTTGCAGGAGAGAGGGAGAGACAGAGAGGAAGAGCTCTGAGAGAGAGGAATTTGGATTTGGATTTTTTATTTTTAAGTTTATTTATTTATTTTATTATTATTATTATTTTCCAGATTTTTTAGTTTTTCTTTTCAGTTTTACAAACTGTATATTATTTATTTACCCCGAAAAGACGCTTTTACCCCTCATTTTAACGGATAAATTGACAAAATTGGACGGTAGGACCCAATTGCAACTAATTGTCTAATTAAAGGATGTAATTGCCACGAAAATTAGTTCACGGACCCAATTGCAACTGGGGCCATAGTTCACGGACATCTACAGTAATTAACCCAATATTCTAATTAATCCTAATAGTTAATAGATAAAACCATACAAAATACTGATGTTCATTATAAAGAGAAATGCATCAACTTCAAAAAATAGACACACACAGCAATTAACCAGAAATATCTCTAAGAATGTGATAATAAACCAAAAAATTAGCGCAATTCTCTTCTCCTCCCAAGGCATCCCATCCTATTCGACTTAAGAGCTGACATATATTAGCAGAATCCTGCTCATTTTATGGCATTTACGTCATTCTTGTGGTTTGTTGTCGTTTTGTTTTTGGACTTTATCTGCATTTTTTTTGGGCTCCAGCTCTCAAACGTTGGGCCATATGACTATTGTCTTAGGGGTGCTTATTCAAGCAAATATTTCTTCTAGGTTTTTCACACAGCTCTCTTTGAGTACGAGAGGGCGACCCTTATAATGTTTTAGGGGGCTAGACTTGAAATGACTATTTTGCAACTAAATTTGACAAAAGATCGGCACACTGCAACCCTTTCCCTACCCTTCATATCCCATGCCTTTTGGGATGGAATTGAGCGGCTCATGAAAAGAATTGGAGACCCAATCTTCAAATGATTTTGCTTATGGACAACGTCAACCAATCTCAGATCCATATAGGTGGCATGTTAACAACCACATGCAAAACTATTTTGGGGATTTATCATTTGATGACTACTCTTCACAATACACTTACTCTACACATAGAGATGATGAAGACAATGAAAAATTTGAACCTCATAGAAACTCTATGTGGTACTAAGTCACTCATGTATCTTATCATGCAATGTATAAAGTTTAAAATACTGTAGTAAATCATTATAAATAAATGATTATGATGTGTTTAATCTTCTTTCATTATACATATTTTCTACACTCGTAGTGTTTGTTAGCTCACTAGATAATCAACTTAAATTAGTTAAACCCATCATGCAATGCATTTCTTTCCAATTTTTTTGTGATAAACTAATAGATAATTTGAAGGGAATATTGTGGGAATGGTGGTGCTGTGTAGAGATTTCTAAAAAACTCTACAACGAAACTTTGAGAGTATAAATCACCTAGCATGCCATATTTAATATGAAATCAAAGTAAGAGCGGAAGCATTAAATAAACTAGGGATTCATGCAAGTCTCATTTGGTCCCAATCTTTATAAGTCTATGAAAGTGTGCACCAAAGACTCTCTAAATCCTATTTGAGAGAAAGATAAGATGTTCATATCCTTGGAGCGAATCTTGAAACCAAGAATGGTGTTCAAGTAGAAGGAGTGGTCCCTTTGTTGTTGGCTTTCTCTTTGATGTTGATTCTCCACCTTGTAGCTCTCTATAGGTACAAAGATATGCACCTCCCCAAAGCTCTACACCAAGGTTTGAATGGAATGAGAGAATGAATTGACAACAAGTGAAGAGTGGTGCTTGCACCTTCACTTGATGTGATGGATTCAAGGGGTTAGTGAGAGAGAGCTTGATGTTTTCTCTCTTCCAATTTCACCAACTTGAAAAACCCTATAATGATAGGATTCCATAGCTACACACTTATATGATCAAAAATGTCACAAGAGTGACAAAATGCCCCCAAGCCCTAGTGTAGCCACACTCCCTTTTTGTGTGTCATCTTTTGCTATCTTGGTCCAACACATTAATCCTATAATGTGTCACATATGTGCCTAAGTTCATATAGTCAAATCCCTTTTGAATTTTCAAATCAATTTAATTACTCTACTGACTTAACTAATTTAATCACTCACTTGTCTAACGAGTGTTGGTCCTAGTCATCCTTAGTTGACCATGTCAAGTGTTGGGTCAACCATTTGACGTTTGACCTTTGACTTTTGACTTTGACCTTTGACTTTCACATTGACTTTGACCAAGTCACAAAATCATTCATTCTCTTCATAATTTCCCAATCGATTCCTTTTCGGTGTGCAATCTTATAAGTTCTAATTAGTGAGGCAGTGGGTATGAATGATTCACTCTGAATCAAGTGTGAATTGTATCACTCCATACAATTCTCCCTATTCGTGAAGGCTAAGTATAATTAGTCCTTACAGGGCTTCCACAAGTCATGAGTGACACCTAGCAGTATATCATGGCCACTCAAGCTAAAAAAAATTCATTTAGAGAACCTAGTCAGTTTGTGATTACAATGCAATTCGATCATTCTCTAATTCAATACACTATGTCATATTCTCGGAATACGGTAAACTTGTGTCAAAATCCCTAATATGACATCTCTTGATTATATGATTCAATTTGATGAAATTGCAAACATTCTTGTTTCAATTTCCATCCAATACTTCGGTTAAAGATTCACGAATCATATCTTTAGAGTATTCTCTCTTCTTACTAAAAGCAGAGTTCCTTGTTGTACATTCACCTGTCTCTACGTATACGCTGAGAATCCTGAGGAACACCTTTAATCACATCATTTTGATACTGTTTGGGCCTAAATTTGACGCACTCAGCCCGCCAAATAATCAGGCCAAGGCTATACACTCGACCCAAACGTTGGAGGCCCAGAAATGTCAAAACTGTGGATGACTTGGGCCTCGAAGGAACCCAAATTGAGCTTGAAAAAAAATTGGACTTGGCATGTTTTTAATTAAAAAGAAGCCCAAAAGAGAAACAGACCCACGTGACCCTCTGGTTTGGAAAAGTCAACAATTTCAACTGAAATTAATAAGGGATGAACAGGGGCAGGTATAAAGAAGAACGTCTCTGAAAAACTCTGTTGCCAGGAGATCAAATTCCGTTTTTGTTTATTCAAAGATATTCTTCTGCTCCAAAGAAGGCACCATTTTCAAGGGATACACAGACTTTGATTTATGAAAAGGAGATAAGCGGGAAACAGGGAGTTGTTCAAGACTGAGAACTTACCATCACAGTTTGAGACTCTTCCAGAAACAGTTGAAATGAAAGAACGGTATGGTGCCCCATCAAAATACAGGGAAATGATCGCTTCAGGAACTGACTATTGAGTGCTTATTTGCCAGGATTGATAAAACCCCCTTTTCTTTTCATTTAAAAATGAAAGATCTTTTGAGAATTTTTGCTGCCCATTATTAAAAGAATTAGAACTCCCATTCTAAGAGCATCTCTTATAAATATAGAAGAGGGTGAACAGAAAAAGAGGACAATCAATCAAAAAACAACCAAAAATTGCCAAGAACAAAAACTCAGAATGACCACTTGATTTCAAAAGCCTTCAAACAGATGTCAATCAAGATACCCAACTTCAGTTCATACTTACAAAATAAACCTTTCAAATCGAGATTTCTCTCGTTACAAATTTGATTCAGCATAAGCCAAAGCAAGCAGAGTTCAAGCAAAGTTCAGGTTCCCACAAATATGAAAACCTCAACAAATTTATGAAGAGCCCTGACCAAGAAGGACAGATACCAAAGTGCAGCTCCAGCCACTTCTGCCTCTTCCAGACTGAAGAAGTCCCAATTCTGCCTAGTCAAAAGCCTCCTAGGGTTTTGAAATAAATTAAAGCTCTGCCAAACTCGAACGTTGGTAACGATTTGCAGCTGAAACAGACCAGTTGAAGTTGTTGATAGTCCAGTCCAGCACAGGCATACCCAATCCAGCTCGGATCAGAAGCATCTGCCCAGGCAGAAATGGAAGTCCAGTCTTCTTTTTCTCTTTTTTGAGTCAGTTTTTCCCTTTTGAGTCTTGTAAAAGAGAACTCT